GGACAGATTTTGGTTGCCACTATGCGTAGAATTGGGTGGTCTGCGGATTCGCCCACAATATGGCGAACTTCTCTTGGAACCAACGTTGATATTTCGTCTACTCCCCCTCGTGAAGTTGTGGCACTAGTGATTCGCGACGCGTCTGTCTGGTCCTGGAAACGGGCCTCTGAGCGTCACCCATCCTTCGGTCACCTGTCTGGACCCCCTTTTCTCCCCCCTCTTCTTTCCCTTTTGTCTAAAAAGACTGAAGGATGGGGTGTCCTCCAGCGACGTGCTTTGAGGACTTTTATATCTGGGGGCATATACTTTAAACCTGTGTGCCCCATTTTGCCAGGTCGCCCCCTCTGACCCCGTGTTTCACACCCTGTATGAGTGTGATGGGCTTGTGGAGTTTCGTCGTTGGTTCGGCCCGACTCCAGCCCTCACCCGTTGCGTAGAGCAGTACCGCGAGAACCCTGTCTGGACCGCTGCCTTGGTTCCCGACCCGCGCTATTGCTCCCTGCTTGCACCACCTTTTCCAGACCCTGCCTGGGAAGGAGCCACAGACGGCCCCTTCTTCTCGTCGCCTGCGTATGGAGACGGCTCGGGAAAGCATGGTCCCTCGCCGCTCACTCTCCGTTGTGGATGGGGTGTATGCCCATTTGCCCCGCGTAGTCGCAATGTTTTTGGTGAGGCCATCGCCAATGATCGGCTTCGGCTTAATGCTGGTGCATATGGCGTATATCCCTTTCTCACCCAGGATGTCTCAGGGGCTGAGCTTTATGCGTTTTTATTTTACCTAACCCATGCTGCCCCCTCTGACTGCTATGAGTTTGTCACTGATGCCCAGTGCGTCGTGGACGGTTGGGCATTGGGGTATGAAGCTACCACGCACGGGTGGGCCACTCACGCATCCTTGTGGGTCCGTGTCCACCGTGCGGCTTCAGATATCGGGTATCACCTAATTAAGGTCACCAAGGTTCGTGGCCATTCTACCTCTGCGGGTAATAAGCAAACGGACAGACTTGCTAACCTAGGTGCTGACCTACACACGCTGGACACGGTCCTGCACGACCGTGTCAAGCGCTCTGGTTTGCTTGTGCGCAATCTTGGTGTGTATATCGGGCATTGTATAGCATGGATTTTCAAGAACGTGCCCAAAAAGGTTTGGGTGGCGGATTCTGACGAGTCCCCCGCCCCCACGGCCCCATCCCTAGTCCTCTCTGGTGCCTCCTCTGGGGCCTTGCATGAGCACTTCTGGGGCCCCTCGGCGGGTCGGTTTCGATGCTTGAATTGTTGGGCTAGTTCAGTTTCCAAGAGCTATTTATTGCGTTCACAGTGCTCCTCTCCCACTGGCGGTGGGCACGTGCTCAGGCGGCTAAATAATATCATATTTTGTCGACGATGCGGCCGCTACTCGTGCAAGAAAGCAGTTGGTTTAACTAAATCATGCACTGGGCCCCCTCGGGCCTCTGGCACCATCTCACGGCTTCGACGCATGTGTGATGGTCGTGACCCCCGCACTGATCAACCAGTCGGTGAGGTCACTGCGGTTGACAATGTCAACGTTATATATGCCTTTCCTGCCCCTCACGATGTCTTTAATTTTCAGGCATTGTTTGATCCTGCATGGCTTTTAGAGGCCCCGTAGATTTCTCGGGTATACTTCGGAGGTGGGGTGGATGTAACGGTTCTGGCGTGTGTGCTGCCCACCGAGCCGCACGGGCGCGCCTAGGGATATCTGGTCTGTCTCGTCTGTCTGATGCTGGCAGGACTACTCGGATCCCCGACACCAGCCGCCAGAAGTGTTGTTCTGCAGTACTCCCTTTCCTGGCCGCTACAGAGGACAGTTTCCAGGAAGTAGGGTAGGCTGGGGATAAGTGGGTACAGAGGCGCTGGGAAGCAGGCACCCGTTCCGCCTGCGCCCACTTAGCCCGTCTGTGCTTTTGTCATTCCTTCCCTGGCCAGGCTCGCAAAGAGAAGACTCTTGCCTGCCCGCCGCGCGGGGATAGCTGTGCACGCCTCTCTGTCTGTGCTTTCTCTCTTCAGTCGGACAGTCGGACAGTCGAAATGTCTTATGGTTACGCGCCAGGGACTTGTAGGCTGAGGGTGAGTGGGTACAGAGGCGCTGAGAAGCAGGCACCCGTTCCGCCTGCGCCCACTCACCCTCCTTCTGTGCTGCTTTTGTCCTCCCCCCTGCCCAGGCTCGCAAAGAGAAGCAAAGAAATGTTTCTTCGCTTCCTGCTGCGGGGGGCGGCATGCTTTCTGCCTCTCTAGCCTTGCTCTCTGTAGTGTCCTGTGCCGATTCGTCAGGGTTCTAGGCTAGGATAAGGATGAGTGGGTACAGAGGCGCTGAGAAGCAGGCACCCGTACCGCCTGCGCCCACTCATCCTTTTTGTGCTCTTTTTGTCCCTCCCCAGCCCAGGCTCGCGAAGAGAGGAAAGGCTCCTCCCGCCGCCGTGCTGACTCTGTCTTGGTTTTAACTCTGCTGCTGGCCAGAGGTTGAGGCTGGAAGCCCAGGAGCCAGGACGCGGGCTTCAAAGTGTCTCACCAGTCTTGCCAGCATCGCTTGTCTGTTCGGGCCCTCGATTTTCTCGTTGTCCCTGTTTGCTCGGTTCGGTCCTTCGCTCGGCTCTGTCGGGTCCTGGTCCGTCCCTCGTTTCTTTCGGCCCCTCTTCGGGCCCCTCGCTCGTCGTTTCGGCGCCACGGGCAGGAGTGTTCGGCAGACGATCACCCGCGCGCAAATCAAAAATTCGCGGACAACCCTCCCGTCGTGTTTTTCTCAGGACGCGAGGGGATCTAGTTGGCTGCCGAGGATGTGCTCGAGGTGGGCAGGCGTGCATCGTGCACACTTGGGCCTCCTCCGCCTTCGCCTCCTCGCTCCTCTGCGCCTTTTCCAAGGGGCCCAGGGACACACAAATCAATAGACACAAATCCCAAGATTCCCAATATTTTCAATATTTTCTGGATGTTCGTCTTCCCCTCCACTTCCAATATTTTCTACAATTTCATAGGAATCGACGATTATCAGTGTGTGTGTGTGTGTGTGCTGTCTCCCTCCTGAAACATGTGTGTATCCCCAGAGCTTGTCTCTTCAATGTGCGGCTGGGGAGATCGTGCACAGGATAGGAGGAGGAGGAGGAGGAGGAGGAGGAGGAGGAGGAGGAGGAGGAAGAGGAGGAGGAGGAGGCGGAGGAGGAGGAGGAGGAGGAGGAGGAGGGGGAGGAGGAGGAGGAGGAGGCGGACGAGGAGGAGGAGGGGGATCAGGAGGAGATGGAGGAGAATCTATGAGACGCAATGTGCAAGCCGCCAAGGAGCAGGGCGGATCGACGAGTGGCAAGAGCGCACGGCAGCGCGCGGACGGCAGCAAAGGCAGAGTGGAGAAGGGGGGGCACGGCAGGCAGAGGGAGCAACAGCCAACATCAGGGCGACGACAGGACAAGGAAACGCAGGCCAACGCGCAGATCTACAGAAAGTAGAAGGAGGCACGGATCTAAGACGAAGCCAGGACGAGGACAAACTCGGACGAAGACAAATCGAATATCTCTGAGATCCAACGGTTCTGAACAATGTATCGGGCGCCGCGGCCTTCTCAGAGCGTTCCGGAACGCTCTGAGAGCGTTCCGGAACGCTATGGGACGGAACGCTGTGGAACGGATTTATCCTCGTCCTTTCCCCGCCCGAGGGTCACCTGCCCCGAAGGGAAGCCTGGCCGCACCCCCAGGCGGAGACAGAAGGAGGCAGAGGAGACGGAGACACAAGGAGGAGGAGGAGGAGGCGGAGGAGGACGAGGCGGAGGAGGAGGCGGAGGAGGAGGAGGCGGAGGAGGAGGCGGAGGAGGAGGAGGCGGAGGCAGAGGCGGAGGAGGAGGAGGAGGAGGAGGAGGAGGAGGAGGAGGAGGAGGAGGAGGGGCCTGAGGAGGCAGTGGCACAACTCGGAGAGGCAGCGCCAGCCGAGCGAGAGCACTCAAACGTGCTTGCTCACGGGCGGGTCGCGGCGCCCATCGCCGGGCCAGGCCGCCGAAGAGACACGCGGCCGCGCGCGCCAGCGGGCGGCACCCAGAGGGCGCACGCCTGCTGGGTCGGGCGGCCGAGGTGTGCGGGCAGGCGGGCCTCCCGGATGCCGTGGGCGTCACGAGCAGGCTGGCGGGGAGGGGGGAGGGGCTCGCAGCACAGCGCACGCGCCGCGGCGGCGGCGCCGACAGGCTGCAGGCCGCCTTCTCCTCTCGATCGCCTGCACCTCCTCCTCGGTTCGAGCCTCGGGTATCCTCGCCCTGCCCTGGCACTAGATGGCGGCAGGCCAGCGGGCCGCGCAGCGGCGGTGGCCAGGGCGTTGGCCCACGCAGCGGTGCTGGGCGAGGAAGAAGAAGAAAAGGAAGGCGAGTGCGACGAGGAGGGAGGAGGCCTCACATGAGGGGGAGGGGGGAAGGAAGAGCACAGCAACGCGAATAGCCTCGTCCGAAGGCTCGCTGCACGCAGGAATGCTCGCGGAACTCGATCAAGCAAGCGTGCTGCATCTCGACGCTGTGTGGCTCAACGCCGTCCTGCGGCTGCTGGCCAACATGTTCTGTTGCGGTGGTGGCTGCCGCACGCGCTCGGACTGAGAGCCGACACATTCGACGAGGAAGTGCTGCTAGTCTCATTCGTACTGGTGGGGCTCGCGTTAGGCCAGGCATGTCCTCCTACAGGAGGACTTTGGAATCATGATAAATATACTTGACAAGAATCAAAACTAGTCACAACACGCAAAACATCGCCACCGTACTATTCTTTACAATTCTTGTATCTTCCTCCTGTAGAGGGACATGCCCGACTTAAGGCTCGCGGTGCAGCAGCCGTATCTCTCATGCCATCTCGCTGGTGCTGACGTGCACGACGCTGAGGGTCACGGACGTGTTAACACTGCGGTGCCGTTGCGCTTCAGAGTGCTGGAGTTGCTAGGCTGCGGCTGCTGCGGATGGTGCTTATCGTCATGTTCGCGCTGCTGCGAGGTGGTGCTGGTGCTGAGCTGGGTTGGGAGGCCTCGTCGTGCTGGGAAAACTGGTCAACGATGTGCTGCTCGTCATCGCGGTCGTGCCCGATTCCGTGCTGGTAAGCGTCGTGGTGGATACTGAGATCGTCCTTGACTCCGTGAAGCTGGGCAACGACGTGGCGCTCGAATCCGTCATGGTGGACGCCGTTGTAGTGCTCGATTCCATGGTGCATGCCACCACCATGATTCTCGCCTACGACGGTGTTGCCAACATGGCAACGCTCGCTGCCGCAATGCTGGACAACGATGTGGTGCTCAACTCCATCGTGGTGAACACTATAGTTGTGCCCTGCATGGCCAACCATGCAGGGCCCTGTAGCAAGAGGAGGGGCTCGCACGGTCACCCTGAGACGCTTGATCAATCCGCGACCCGCGCGTTGGAAGATTAGGTATATAGTGGTTGTTGTGGTTGGGGACGAGGCCGCTATTGCTGTCGGTGTAACTGTCGGCACATCTGAGGTGGATTCGGGGCGGGTTCTGTCGGCCACGCGGCCGGGATAACAAGTTAACAAATTGTCCCCACCCTTCCTGGTGGACACCGTGGCGGGCTCAATCGGTAGTGCAGGAGCAGGTGTTGACAGGGGAGTCGGAGCTGGAGTAGGAACTGACAGTGGCACCAAGCAGCTGGTGCCCGAGATGCTGCACGGAGATGTGTTGCTCGCCGCGCGGCGCTGGAGCTGGAACCCGAGCTGGAGGAAGGGCTCGACCCGTAGCCAGATCAGGAGTCGGACATGGAATCGGAGCCAGAGTAAAAGGAAATCAGCGCTGGAGTCGGAAGCAGCACACGTGGCATGCGGGTGGTGCTCGAGATGCTGCACCAAGACGCGGTGCTCGTCGCACGAAACACCGGCGTACCGGCGCTGGTGCTCGTGCTGGCGTGGCGCTGGTGTCGGCGCTGTCGTCAGCGATGGTCAAGGCGCTGCGGTCGCAGCGGAGGCAAGGATGCAAGGGTACCCTTCGGAAGGTTGCCCGTCCTCACTATGCGGGCTAACTGTGCAAGATGTGTTCGCGCCGGTCAGATCGGGGGAAGATGCGTGCGCCCAAATCGGGTGTTCCACGCTCGTGTGTACAGGGCAATTTTTCATAATGGGATCTTTAAACATATGAGATGTTCAATACATGATTCATGTAGGAGTAGATTTATGCATGAACTCATCGTTGCTTTTAATACAACATCCCTGCATTTTTGATACATGACCCGCACGCGGAGCGCGTATTAGAAACGGCACTGTACCGAGTCCGGGGCAGGATGCCTTGCCTCCCCCCTCGTCTCCTCCGCCTCTGGTCGACACGGGGGCCGAGGCTGCCAGCGCCTGCGAGCGAGGAACCAATAATTCCGCACGCGTTGGCCCAACGAGAACTGTGCAGTCGTATCGTCTGGGTTGGACCGGTCGCCGGCTCCGTGGCACTGGGTCGCCAAGGAGAGGTATTCGCGACCGTCCTGCCCTCACCGAAGATGCAACTCGAAGATGTCTGACCCGTCAATGGCGGAGTCGCGCCCGCCCCGCGTGTGGTCCTAGAAATGCTCATCACAGACATGCTCGATACCGATGTCAGAGTCGTGCCGCTGCACGCCGTCAAGCTGCTATTCCACGAAATTCTGCTCAAGAAGACCGTCCAGAAACGTTCCTGCAAATCCGTTCGTTCAGAGGCGTTCCACCGAAGACGGGATTGGAGTAGCAGCTGGGTTCGGAACTGGCGCCGAAGTCGGAGATGGCGCTGGAGCCAAAGCGAAAACCACAATGGGAGCCTGAGCTGGAGTCGGAATCGGAGCTGGAACTGGCGAGATAAGGGAGGTCAGATCTAGAGTCGGAGCCTGCGTCGGAGCCAGCGCGACGGAATGGGATCCGGCGCTGGAGCTGGAGTCGGAATTGGAACGGGGGCACGAGTCGGAGACGGAGCCAGAGTCTGCCAAGAATGGAAGAGTGGAGGAAAAGGCGACCCGAACGAGCCCCTTACCGCACTGATGCTGCTCCTCACGGGGCCGTGCTCGAGAAGAGGCCGAGACAGGGGCCGGATCCGTGGCCAGAGATATCTGCCAAGACAACGACATGGCAGACACAGCGAAGAGGAGTGAAAGGCGGAGCTCGACGTACACGTCGCAGCGATACGCCATGCGTTCGTCAGACCCAGAGACGAGGATGGGGTCGGAAATGCCAATCAGACATGGGGCAGGATGCGGTGTCGCAGCGCCCAGGTAATGAATTCATTCCCCTGCATCTTCCATGCTTTATGGCATGGAAGATGCGGGGGAAAGAGAGACTGGCTCTGCTCGCCGTAGCGCTGCTGCTTGCGGCGAAGCTGGTAGCAGGAACGCCTAGAACACAACATACCACCACGCTCCTGGCCGTCGCACGCACCGAAACGCTGTCCTCAAGACGTCTCACTGCGATCGCCTGTGCTGCTATCCCCGCCGCACATCCCCCGACGCCCCAAAACCGCCACAGGAACGTAGCGTCGAGTTCCCCCGGACCGCCTCTTGGTTCAGTTGGTTCATGGAAGTGGCATTCCTGTCGTGCCGAACGTGGTGGGTAACCAGGTATACCACGTAGACTGCGACGGCCATGCGCCGAAGGTCATCGTCCGTCCCCGGGTACGCCATCTTCCACCTCTCGATGGGGCAAACCGCGGCACCCGCGCGCAAGCGTGAGCGCAGCCATTCCTGGACATTCGGGCATTCGTGAGGTAGTATTCGATCGAATCGTTTGCACTCGCCGAACAGCCCCAAACGCATGGGAAGGTGAGGACGATGACAACGATAATGGCGACGACCATCTTGCGCAATATGATCCTTCCAGTCGAGGGGAGGTACGGCATGGGATCCCGACCCGTCGATACCCCACCACCCCTTCAAGCTTCACCCTCGGGGGGATGCTCGTGTGCCGCTCCTGCTTCGGGCCACCGTCTCACGACGGGCACCCCCCTGAGGGGGTAACGCTTTCATTTATTTATATATATATATATAATTTAAACAACAAAAAAGAAAAGTCATATGTTTTTTTGTTTTGTTTTTTGTTTCCCCCACCCCCGAATTGTCGTTGTCCTCTGAATGTGTGTTGGAGGCGTCCGCGCCGCCCGACTGCGCGCTCCGACGAGCTGTAGCGTAGCGCGCCGACCGGGCCACCGCACAGCGTCTCTCCGTGCGCCGACGGCCCGGACGCGAACGTTTATTTCGCAGCGCGGACGTCGCAGGCGCGGAGGATCGAGGGCAGAACATCCACCCCGATAAGCACCACCCCGACATGCGACGCCGTTTTGGTAAACGCACCCAAGGAAGGAAGCAAGCAGGACAGGGCTGTTTAGCAAACGCCTAGGGCCGTTTCGCAAACGCCAGTTGTCCAGTCCGGGTCGTTTTTCCTCCCCTGAGAGGAAGGAGGAGGGCAACTTTCCAAGGACGCGCCCTGTGGGAAGAAGGCGAGGAGGAGACACCAGGAGGAAAAAAGACCCCCCCCCAGAAAAAGAGACGGCGGAGGGAGAGGGGGCGGCGGACGAGGAGGGGGACGAGGAAGGAGAGGAGGAGGAAGGGGGGAGGAGGAAAAGGAAGGGGGAGGAGGACGGGGAAGGGGTGGGGTGGGGTGGGGTGGGGGGAAGAGGCGGCCTCCACGGCGGCCCAGGGAGGCACCCTCCGGGGGCCGTGGGAGGCGCGCAGGGGGGCCTCCGCGGGCTCCGCCGCCCGCGCAGGGGGCACGGCGCGGGCCCAGGGCCCGCCCCTGCACTGCCGTGCCCCGCGGCCCCGCGTGCTCCGCGGCCCCGTGTGCTCCGCGGCCCGAGCCCCCGGGGGAGGCGCGGCGGAGAGTTCGCCGCGCGACGGCCCCGCCGTTTTTTTTTTTTTTTGTTTTTTTTTTTTGTTGTTTGTTTGTTTGTTTTGTTTCTCTCTCTCCGGCTCCGTCGGGCATTTTTTTTTTTTTTTTGTTGTTGTTGTTGCTGCCCCGTCGGGCTTTTTCGGGGGGGGGGGGGGCGCCGTGGCTCCCGTTTTTTATGTTTTTTTTTTTGGGGGGGGGGGGGTGTTTTTGTTTGTTTGTTTGTTTGTTTGCTTGTTTTTTGTTGTTTGTTTTTTGTTTGACTTTTGTTGTTTTTGGTTTTGTGTTGTTGCCAAAGCAACGTTTTTTATTATTTCATTATTTGTTTTAAGTTTTTTTGTTCAAGCGTGCCTTTTTCAGTTTTTTCTCATTGTTAGAATTGTTTAGTTTTTTTTTTTTGGTTTTTGGCTGTTTTTTTTTGGTTCTGTTTTCATGGACCGCGGAGCAAACGCCCGGAGCAAAGACCATGCGTTCCTGTGAAACCACAAGGGCCCGCTTCGGTTTGTTTTTGTTTTCATGGCCCGCCGGTCCATGCGTTCCTGTGAAACAACACAAAAGAAAAATCAGACGCAGGTTTTTCGACGAGAGTTTCTGCCCTCCAGTCGGCGGCGTCGCAAAAAAGAGGTCGCGCATGAGGATGGCTAAACGGGCGCATTGGCCCCCGAGCCTGACGCCTTGCAGTGGCTGGTAACTCCCCTGGTGCTCGTAGTCTTCATGGTGGCTCGTCCCCCGCCCTCCCCCAACATCCCCCCCTCTCCTCCCCCCGCGCCCGCTTCCGCTCCCTCTTGCTTTCGCCCGCGCCCCGCTTCCCCCCCTGGCCCCCCCCCCCCCTCTCCGCTCTCCCCGTGGCTCCTCCAGGGAGGGGGCGCCTACTCGTCCCGAGAGCAGCGCGGCGCGGTGCTATAGAAGGCCCAAAACCTCGCCCGCCCGCCCGCTCTCGAGCCCGACTCACGGGGACGGCGTGCTTCCCCTGGGGGGAGTTCGCCCGGGGCCCGCTTCGGACGGCCTCTGGGGCCCCCCCGGAGTTCAAAAAGAAGACAAGCGCACGGGGATATCGAAAAGCAAGAGAGCCTCATCCTCTGGGGACCTCTGGGAGCTTCTGGGGACCATGCCTCCCAGAGCCCCCGAGAGCCGTCAACCCCCCGAAAGCCTTTTAGAAACTCATCGACGAAACAGCTAGGACACACGAAAGGGAAACCGCGTTCCACACGTGTAGAACAACATTTAGAACAAATGAAATGGCGTGTTATCGTCGTTCCTCCTTCGCGCCCACGACGCCCGCGCTCTACCTGCGTCGCCCCATCAGAGCTAAATTTTCGGCATGTGCCACCCCTGTTTCGGGCCATTGTCTCCAATCTTCCTCCCTTCAAGGGTCGTCAAACATACGCTTTGGGCGGTCCAGTCGGTCGGGCGGAACCTCATTCGTGCGGTCGTGCTGGGCCGGGAAGGCCGTACTTCAGACAGTCTGGCAGGAAGGGCTTTGTCCGAA